ACCATTTAATTAAGGTTAATGAAGTCTGGGACTTGGGCACTGTATCTCATGCAGTAATGCACGTCTCTGTTCTTGATAGATGTCTTCCATTTGCAACAGTAGTTACATACTGGGGACTCAAATCCCCATTGTCCCCATGCCTTCAGAGTAGGGCAGGCTCTTGTCTTAATTTTACATTATAATCCTTTCTAAATGGAGACATAATGACGTAATTCATTGTTGCATTTTGAAACAGTGTGGTCAGCGTGAGGATTTGATCGAGCAGTTCCACTCTTCCAAAAGTACTAAGGTGCTTGCAGATATTTGATATTGAGCTATTTTGGCTCTCAATTGCAAAGTAAATAGGTCAGGCAAGGCCTTTGAAAGGAATTTAATAGATACATCTCACAGTCACAGAGAAGCATGAAACTCTTCTGCTAAAATGAGACTGGGTTTATGAAAGGTCGCAGTTACCTTTTAAAGTAAGTTTTTGCAGGTCTGCAGAGCAAATACTGCATTTTTAATGGGTATGGGTAGAATCTCTGTTTTACTGATAATGCTCCAAGTTTTATTTTTTCTCCAAATTGGAACAGAGCTTCTTGTAAGCTAAGCAGCCAGTCTTAAAGCTTTTGCATTATTGCTTCATAGTGAACTACTGAAATAGCAAGGCATTGAGCAGTAAGTACAAGAAGCAGCATAAGCTGCCAAAATAACAGCAAAATTCTTTATTACCATTATTATTATTACTATTGGTGACTTGTAAGTCCTGTCATAATTTTTTCAGAAACTGTTGTGACACAAATAGCAACCCAAGTTGGCTTAACTTAAAAGTTTATTTTGTTTGCCTCTATAAGCACCAATCACTTACAAATTTGGGGAAGGGTCTAAAAAGGATTTCATATAGATACCGATGTAGGTGGGTGTACAGATGTCTGTACATATTTAGCTATTTATCTATCTTTACATACAGATATATGAAACATTTATAATAACTATACTTTCCTCCATTCCTAAGCTGCTCCCAGAAGTGCTTTTCTGCTGAATTTGGTGTTGCACATGTGACACGGGGGATGGGTTAGAAACCTCTGGTGGGGAGACAGGAGTTCAAATGCAGTCTTGGGCCTGGCATCTAAATCAAAACAAGCTTCTTCCAGGCTCCTAAAGCTTGCTCTGAGCCAACAGACACTTCTCTAGGCTACGTGGGCTGGGGTTCTCAGTAAATAAGTGACAGTGTCATTACATCATATGGAAAGTTTAGATTGGGAAAGCTGAAATTGTCCTCGCTAAACGTGGGCAAGTACTTGTATTTGGTAACATAGAGGCCCAGAGGATGTTTGTCATTGAGTGTCACAGCAGGAAGGAATGCAGGAAAAACCCCTCTTTGGTGGGGTCAGGACAGGATCTGCACCCTGTTATGCTCCTGCCCTGACAGAAGCTCAGCAAGCTCCTGTTGCTCTGTCAGGCCCCTGCAGGAAAGCTTTGAACAATGGTCAACGCAGGAGAGATGTCACAGGTGATGGAGCGTGTTTGTGCCAAGGCACAGTGCAGAAGTGAGCCCTGGCTCCAGTGAATGCCACATATTTTATGAGTTTTCAGTGTGTTTTCAAAAGTATCCCTTGGAATGCAGAACTGAGGACTAAAACTAATAGCAGGCTCTGTCAGTACTGAGTGGTTTACACTGTAATGGTAGAATTCAGTGGCCTCTTCACTTCAAAGGTGTCAA